TTTTCATCCACCACTACACCCAAGTCCTAAATACTGAGCTGGCCTTTCATCTAATGCTGAGGTCTACCTGCACACAAGGTAAGAACCAACTCCCTAGCTCTTCTACTAGCCAGCCATGCATAGGTTTGTGAAGAATAGAGGCTGCTCTACCATGCACCAAATTATAACCCTGTGCGAAGGACTTCTGCTAACAGAGGAGAATCAGAGTGCAGTATGTCCTGTCTGTAATCCCTGCTGTTCTGGCAGAAGTGTCAGGGAGACATTGCCAAATTCCATGTTCTTGACACTGTCACACCCACACAATGGGGAAAACAAGAAGAGAAACGTGTCTGGCTTGTTATGGGAATGCAGATCGTGACATGATATTGAAATGAGGCATTTGGTCAGAAGCCTAAGAATAGGCTGCAAAGGGAACAGAAATTGGATAAAGGGAACAGCTTTGCCCCCATAACTTGAAATTGCATAGTATGAGCAGACAATGCACAGATCACTCTGCTGTGTTTAACTTACTGCCATGTCACTGAAGAGCTGAACAGATACCCCACGGTGTTTCACTTCGATGGTGTCCATACAGTCCATCTTCAGAGCTGCTCTGCATGGTCCTTCATGGAGGACAACTTCAACATCATGTTGCGTGTCTTGAAACAAGGTGTAGGAGCAGTTGCCAGTCAGCTTAAAATTCAGCCCATCAAAAGTGACAATATGTCGAGATGAACTTCCTATACAGACACCTGCAAACCAATGAAAAAAAATGACATATAGACATTCACTTTTGTTCATATTAGACTATTTCTTCACAATTTTTATGGGCTGTGGAATCCATTAATTAAGAAAGCTATGAAGGTAATGAATTGCAAATGCTGCAGAAAATCATTGACAAGAAACTTTGGTAAATACTTTATCAAATAGGTTTTTTGAAGTATCTTTGTCTAGAGCAATTAGTATTACAAAAGATTTGGATAAACTCACAGAAAATGGCCTAGGGTGAAGTTTGTTCACATTGAATGTGATTTATTAATAAATTTTATATGAAAAAAAAGCAGAGAAAATTTATCCTTTCCCTATTTGTGGAAAGACTGTAGCATACTTATTTTTCAATTTTTGCATCGCATTTTTAGTATGGCATTGCATTTTATTCCCTTATTACATTCAAAACAAAATAACGCTATTTCATTCTTATCAAACATGTCACAAGTCAACAACAGAAAACTTTTTTTCAGATGGGAAACAGTAAAAGGGCAGAGAAATAATGTGCACAGGATAAAACAATGGTGAATTTAAACCTCGTTATTGTGGTCATTAGGTTATAAACACTTCCTTGTCATCACAAACTCGAAAACAAAGAGGATTATAATCTCACAAGTACCAAAACAGAACCTGAGCAAATGGATGCTTCTGACTCATGTGTTTTCAAGTCTTTTGCTTAAAGATAATAAGGGCAATAAAAGCAATGTCAGCTAAACATGTAAGAAGAAAATTTTCTTTATTAATAACTCAGCTACTTGTCTTCTAGTTGAGATTTGAGAATAACCTCTTTCCCATTGATCGACCTTTAAACTTAATTTCCCAAGAAAGCCAGCAAACAGCAATTTGCCCTTCAAAAAACCACGTAAAACAAAGCCTATCTCATGTACCGTTGGAACTGGATTGTAAAGAGGTACATCCCTTTGGAGCACTGGAGCATCTTCAGATATTCTACTGTACCTTTTTATAAAGTTCAAGTACAAACAACAATTAAACAAGTCAGCAGTAAAACAAGGTTTCTTAACCTTTTTTTATTCATGGACATCTAAAAAATTCTAAGTATAATGGATATCCTTTTAAATTTGTCATAGGTATTTTGTAGCACAAAATGTATGAATCCAATCTACTTAAATCCATTTAATAGTCCTCAAACACCCAAGATCCAGGAATCACAAGTTCTAAATAATATTGCTCTAAATTTTATAACTAGCTCAGCAAGCAAACACTTTCGTGGTGTAACTCCTGATCTATTCTCTGAACTCAGTTACATGACATAGGAAGAACACTTTTTCAAGTACTTCCTCTTTGCAAAAGCATTTGTCATTTCATCTGCACCATCAAGCAATTGTTTGAAAGGGCTTTAGCTCTCTAAATAATTGAACACTAAATTTCCTCATGATTCGGCAAAGTAGTATGCACTGCCATGCTCCTGCAGCACAGATTGCCTAACCAGCCTCCATCCATAACAACGAAGAGGTGCTGACAAATCCCTCTTTTTAATAAACAGATTACCACCTTCAGGGCTCAATCCCTCCACCCTGTAAAGTGCAAGTAGGTGCACTTAATTTCTGTGTGTTATCTCAGCCAAGGCATTAATCACATTGTGTTCACCATTTCTGCTCAAATACTCAGTGTGAGGTTTCATGGAGGCAGAGAGCATTTGTTGTTGTTTCTTTAATACATGTTCTTGACTGAGATCAGGCCAAACCCTCAAGCCTAGGGATGGACCACATCACTTGCTTACAACATGCCGAGATAAATTTCTGCTCTCTTCCATACATTCTCCTTCCCAGTTCACACAGCTTTGTAAATCAAGTGTGAGATTCACTGATGAAGCAATGCAGTTACCCTAATTTAAAAAATAAGCTCGCAGTGGCCCAGAACGTGCAAATAGCATCACACATTCTAAACATCGCTGAGACTCACACACCTAGCTGTTCATTTAGCCAGTGTACAGCATTAATTCCTCACACCTCGGATGACTTCGGTCTGCACAATGACTGAGAAGCTCCATTCAGCAATACATTTCTGCTAAACATTTCAGGTGATTGGTAGGAGGGCATACATGCAAAGACAGATACTCACACGGACACATCCATCGGCAGCCACAGGTTTCTTCAATCTTAACAGCAGGAAGACTGCTGTGACATACTGGTTTTGGCATCCTCTCACAGTTAATTTGGTGACTCTCCAGAACTGTGTAATCTCCTGGAAAGCATGTCACAGTGTGGCATTGGTCGGGTAATGTCCATTTGTCACCAGGCTAGACAGGGAGACATGGATATTTAACAATTGAAAAGAACATGGGCTGAGGGGAGAAAAATGCAAAACACAGCTGTTGCCACGCTCCTACAGCTAGCAACTAAAGTGACACCGACAGCAGTGCTACTCAAATTAGCCTTGGATAATTAAATAATAGAAAGCAGGGCATTAAGGACTTCATGTGGATGAGAAAGTTAAATTAGCAAGACTGCAAGAAATAGACTCTGAAATTCCAAGCAAAAGACAATAGTCTAGAACAGGAGACGTTTTGTTACAGCAGAATGAAGTATCTGGTACTCCATCTATTGTTAGCCTAGCCATCCTACAGGATGCATGGACAGCATACTCAATAAAGAATTCCCCTTAGCTTTTCTTTAAATGTCAAAGTCTTTAGCTTTCTTAAGCCATAAAATTATTTTAGAAAGAGCTCTGAGCACAGATGGTCATGGCACAGCAGGAACTAACAATATTTGTTCCAAACTAGAAAGGCATGGAATACTCCAGTTATTGTAGCCACAACTCCAAAACTTTAAATCAGTTCCTCTCTTCCTGAATGGAAATTGTTGCTTTATCAGATTGTTACTAGATATACATCGTAATATTGTACAATTAAAAACAAAACAGAAAATATATTATAATTTTCGAAAGGACAGTCTATATTTTAAAGCACCAGAATTACATACTGCTAAATGACAGGGAAATAGATACGGTCACAACCTGGAATATCTAAAGATTCATATCTGCACAAAGCTGAGCTCTCTGGCCCCAGTCCCACAGAGCTCTAAAGTCAATAAATAGGCTCAATGAATTTCAAAACAGAGTGTTCATCCCTGAGGTCTACATTCCCAAGAATATCTCAAAATGTGGGAAATAACTTCTATAGAGGTGAGTCCAAAAGCAATAGTAAAAAGTGAGATATTCTATGAACTGGATATTTCTTGATATTCACAAGCAAAAACATGGGGAAGAAAAGATGATTGCTATTGGCCAAGGCTATTTCCCATCCTCTCCTTTTCAGCTTACCCATCATTCCCATGAAAGAGAAGAGCAAAAATGGCAAAATATCTAGGTAACCATAGCTTAATTCACAGACTGTTGTTAGCACTGGAGTGTACAAACCAAGAGTAGTGAGGTAAAAGTACTGCTCTGTATCCCTGAGCTATGTAATACTGCCAGGCCTAAAACAGAACTGTCAGATTTCCAGCCATAAAAATTCAAATATTAAACAGGACTTAATTTACTGTTTTAATTTATGAGTTACATACTGCTTTGTGTGTTTCAGGACTGTGAGAAGAGAACTTGTCCTGAAAGAGGCTTAATACTTTTCAGGCTTGTGAGACTAGATGAAGATTTGAAAAAGTAAAATGAGGAGATTTAAGTATGGAAAAAATATTTAGATAGGAAGAAATGGTATGGGTTTTAATTAAAGCTGTCTCGCCTACAACTCACTGAAAGTGGAGCACCTGGAAGGGTACATATACAGCTGTGAAAGTCTGGCAAAGGACCCTCTAGCTTCCATACATATTTAATTGTGTTTATTTCACTCCTCGACAGGACATCTATTGGAAAACCTCTAAGACCTGGACAAGAAAAGCAAAGCACAGCGCATTAAAACAAAAATATAAATCGAATGATCCAAACAAAGCCAAGAATCCTAGCACAAAAGAAAACACAGGGACTCTGAAGACAAAGAAAGCTTAAATCCCAATTGATATGAAATCGTAGGAGTAAGAATAGGAGAGAAAGGAAAGCAAAAGCAGGGGTTTCTAAATCGTGAAGGATAAGTCTGCTGAAACCGATGAGCCTGCCAGCACACCGGAGGAAGCTTCAGACTTCCTCTCTAAGGGAGCTCTGAACCTATGGACCTGGACTTGCACACTCTTCCTCTTACTGAGCATCTGCAGGAGAGAGAGCCACGTACCCCAGTCGAGTTCATCAGTTGGCATCTTTTAATTTAGTTACTGGATATGATTATTTAGCCACTGGATATGACAAGTACTAAAAACTTACATGGATTCAAAGAATGACTGAACAAATTTATACAAAACTATTGAGCACTATGAAACACAGAAAGATGTCCCTTCCAGCTCAGGGGTGCCCTGAGTCACAAATTTTTCAAGGCTAAGTTCAGGGAAGTATCATATATGCTTACTTACATTGTTCCCAGATTTCTATTTTTGGCCAGATAATAAAGGGGGTTGGATGGATTTTTAGCCTAACCTAACACATTTGATGTTCTGTCCTTGTATTACTGACCTTAGCCACAAATCTTTCTTCCACAGTCATTTCCAGGGTAGAGGTAATAACCAAAAAAAACCAGAAGTAACAAGTCACATCATTCTTGTTATTAGATAGGATTTAGGCTGAGTTTTTTGATCCTGAGAACTCTGATTTCCTTGCAAACTGCAAGAGATCAGTTCCCACAATCTCCAGGTGCATGACAGACATCCCCCTTGGGGAACTGAGCCTCTTGCAGTAACTCTGAGTAACGCCTGAAATATTATGGATCTGATGTAAAAGCCTCTGTTTTCTGAATCAGGAAAAGAGCCTTGATTCTTCTTCCCTGTGGATTTGCGGACTACACTGGAAGAGGGTAACAGGCCAATGATGGCACGTTACTGACCGTGTGTCAGTATTGGGATTCAGAGTATGGGTGCTGAACACCATAGCCAGAGCATATCCATGATGTCCTGTTGGCACCACGGGATGCTCAACAGCCTGTTCCAACAGGCAATGGCTACTATGTTGGCAGTGTCTTCTGAAACCCATTTTTTCTGGCTGACAGAAGAGGTAACACAAAATCCCCCTAAAGACTGCCATTTGAAGCATTGGTTCATTTTTATACGGACTGGAGCCTGACTCCTTTTTTTTCCAAAAGCATTTTAGACCAGAAATTGTGCTTTAGGTTTATCACCAAAAAAGTGAAAACCGTCGTGTCTGAAATTCAAGTTTAGGCTCCCCAGCATTTATCCACATGTACCTATGTCTCCTTCTAGAAGCGCAGAGGCCTGGAGACGTGCAATTCAAATGAATAACCAACAACAAACTAATTATTTTTTGGTTTAAATTAATAAAGTTTTTCAAGTTTAGTTTTCATTTGTTGTTTTTTTCTTAATTAGGTTGTCCACCTCAACACCACCAGGTCATACTTTGTGTCTGGTCTAGCTAAAGTCTTTCTGTGTTCTGACCAGCTGACCGAGGCCAACAGTGTAAGGCAGCTTTAATATAAGTGTATTTCCTGTGTCTAGACAATATCATAACCATTTCCTTATTAGCCACATCCTTCCTTACAGTCATGTCTTCACAAGGGAAAAATCAAAGGAAAATTTTTAATGTACTGGAAATTCAAGATAAATCCTAGGGTAGAAGTCATAACTGACCTTTACTAAAAAACGTGTCACAAGCTTATGCTAATATTTTTAAATGCATGACATATAATATACACTCAAAAACCTTGGCATTTCACTTGAGATTAAGGAACTGAACCATTCATAATATTCTTTTCTTAGGGTGGATCACTTTTGAGAGATCAGACGGGTTTACTAAAGTTCTGAGAATTTTCTCTGGATTAATAAAAGCTTTTCTGCAAACAAACACTAAGAACTTTGATTCATTACTTAAGAGATGGACTTCCCTAGAGAGATGACTATCACACAATAATTATCTTCCTATAAAGTTTTCACAGGGACAAGGTATTTTTAGCAGAAGGAGAGGGTCTGGACAATTTCCCTCCCCCTGTACATGCACCTTTATTTTGGCCATGTCTAGCCTTCCCGGAAGTTCTTTCACCAGGAGATGGAAATACGCTTTTCTTTGTCAGGGAAGACACACGGCCACAAGTTTTGGCTCTGCACTGCCTTCAATAATATTCAAGAGACTGCAAGATCAGGTGTCATTAGAGGAAGTCTCCTTTGTTTGCAAAGTGCTCTCATTGGTTCAAAAGCCAACATTTTCCACCTCCAAAATAATTCTTAATACTTGATATTGTCCAACACTTTTTATTTCAGATTATCTATGGAGGCATTCATGGTCCTGCATGAATTTTCTAACTTGAAAGCCAGGTAGAGGAGAGACGCAATACACTTACTCTCTTTTTGTTTCCATCCTCGTCTATACATTCTCTGACAGGATCTGAAAGAGAAACAGACGTCTTTTAGCCATCTCACTCCTTTATCCAGCCTTCTAGGCGGTGGTCACCAAAATACAGATTGCTTACTTAAAAATGCAACTTAAGCAGTAAGGTCTTTCTGTGTTAGCGTATGAGAACCCCTGCCTGAAGACTGCAGGCATCTGTCCAAAGGGTACAAGAGTAAGCCAGAGAATACATAAACTTAACTACTGCTAGCATTACCTGACTTCTGCAATGATATTGGTCCTAAAATACCCTGTGAGCAATAGGTAGGCTGTAACTCCACAGCACTCCTTGGACTGACAAACAGCTCCTCCCAGGTGGTACTTAAAAGAAGATCACGGCTTTAGCTCTGAGGCAGGGTCTAGCCTTACTTCTGCATCTTGCGATGAAGCGAGAATATTTCTGGTAATTAGCAGGTAGTGAGAATTTACACACACACGCACATCTATTAAATGCAGAAAGATAAATACAGCGAGTAGCCCCAAGATAAGATTTGTCAGCAGCTAGCACAAGTACGAAAAGAGTTGCAATAAGAACACTCAGATTCAGTTTCATTACACAGAGGCATTACCGTGACAGCAGTTTATTGTATAGTCAGTTAGAACCTCAGAAGACACCAACTAAATTGCGGTTTCTAAGTTTATGTGCTCTCATAACACACCTAAACATACATGAAAATAATTTTATAGAAGTACTATGGTATGACAATGTGATAAGCCTGTGTCTAGGAAATTAAACCACTGACCAGCAGACTCTTTATATAATGCTATACTATGCTACCACATATACCCTATTTGCTCTTTTCCCGGACAAATAATGTATTTTGAAAGCATTTAGGAAATCTTTTAAACCTTTTTAATAGTATTATTTTTGGTTCACTTCCATACATAAAGTAAGACTCCCTTCATACAAGAAATCCAACTGTATGAGTCTGGAGGGGAAAATTATACTTTACAGATTGTAAGAAACTTAAATAAAACAAACAAACAACAACAACAAAAAAAAAGAAGATAGTTTCCCACCCCATGACAAAGGCTTTAAAAACAGCAGAAAGGAGAGCTAAATTTTTAAGATTTAGGTGTCTAATATGATACCTATCATCCCAGTTTTTGAGCATACTCTTTGTGCAGTTGGAAAAACTTTCATAAAAATGTAAAGCTTCCACCTCTAGTAGCAATAGGTTATAGGACAGATTGCAGTAAGAAAGTAGTTACTGGTTTCAAATTCCTGCTCCCCATCTTATGTCTTGGATCAATATAATTTAGGGCAAGAAAAATCACATATTTTACAGTGTGAAGAGAGGAAATGCATGTTTGAAAGCTTATTTTAAAAGAAAAGAAAGAAAATGGCAGCTGTTTAAATCTAGAAAATGGCAGCTGTTTGATGCTCTGGAGAGATTTTAAAATGCCAGAAGTGATCCCAGTGGAGACTGATCGGATATCTCTAAGCTGGACTGTGCACACTCTGCAACTTCCTCATTCTTAGTGGTACTTGGCTCTGCAAAAAAGTCCACTTATTTAAATGGAGATGTAACTAAGCCCTAGTAAAGCTGGTAAAAACCTGTGCAATGACTAATACAATGAGACAGTGATTTACAGAGGACACGTAGATGCTATTGTAATAAAAATAACAACAATATGTATAATAAATATCTATATACGCACAGACGAAGGAGGCAAAAGAAGTAAAATACTGGCCAGAGTTGATGCAACTTTCCTTAGATGGGGGGCATTGCTATCTACAAATAAATGAATGCTTGTTTAAAATATTTTACACCTTTTTTCCCAGTGTTTTCTTTCCCAGAACACACTTTTTTTTTTCCCCCCCTTACACTTTGGCCAAATTCTGTGTAGACATACACATAACAATGTCTGTGCAGAAAAATATGATTTGAAATCTTTACTCACAACTAATGTATAATATTTCTCAAGCTTGTCCCCATTCATTCATGACAGACTGAGCTTTCTTGGTGTCCCTCAGTTAATGACGAGCCCTGATTATTAATAAGACAGTAGCTTGAAAGTTCAGGACTAAGCAGTTCTTAAAAACTTGCTGAGAGTTGGTTAATTAGAATAGCAGTTGGCTACATGCTGAAAGGGCTCAGATTTTGATCATACCTAAGTGATGGTGGTTGTCCAGGTTAGCATTTGTGATGATTTTCAGTGAAACACTCACAAACGAGCCTTGGGTTGACTTCTCAAATCAAGAAAAGTCATTCTGATTTTGGCATTTCATTTTTGGGGTTTTGCTCCAGTTATGAGGCTACAACTACATTGGACTTACCCATGCACACTTTTTTGATAAACTCGCTATCCAATGTGATCATGGTGGATAAGTCTTCAAAATTCTGAAGCTTCATGATTCTATTAGCAGCTGATGGCCCAGTCAAAGTCCTTAGCTGCTCTTCATCATATCTGTTCCCAACTCCAATCGGAAAGAGGGAAACCCCTAGGAAAAGAGAAGAGAGGGTTTTAAATGGCAATGCACAGGAGAAGGAGGTCTCTGCTGTTGTTGTATTATTTTCATTTGCTTCTAAAAAAATAAAACAAAAATAAACTGTGTAAGGTTTTTTTCCTCAACTGTTACTTTTCATGTTTTACTTACACCACTCCCTCTACATAGGCTAAAGGCAATTCAGGGCAGCAACGATGATGCTCTAATTACAGTGTTAGCTAAGATGAACTCTACTAGTCCCAAGCTTAATAAGATCATGCATGGGCAACAAAACGCAGCTGCAGGCTTAATGACAACATCTTCACTTTTTCCAAATATAAAAACAATATCTCAATATGTTGTTTTCTTTCTTCAGTTACATGGCAATTGGATTATTTTCAAGCTATTTAATTAAAAAATAATAGTTCATGCCTTATTCGATAGCTCCCAAAGCAACCTACAGAGGAAGTCACTGTTCCTCAGTTGAACACCTGAGGAAGCTGAAGTGCAGAGACTACAGCCAGAAAACTTGAAAAATCATCATGCAGCATTCATTGATAGCAAGAGCATATTTCTGTATAGGTCAGTGCAGAATCTGATCAAAACCCCTCTCTATTTATTATTAAACTTGAATCTTGAAATAATTCTTGAAAGAGTCAGTGTACTGCAATTATATTTATTTTTAACATTAGATCATATTTTTTGTCATCTCTGGCTATTCACAGGAACTGGAAAAATAAAATGTCACTAATTTGTGAATCCTATGGAATATGTTCAGCTTAAATTGCAAATTGGTCCTGAATTAACCAGTAATTCAAAGGCATCTTCATCAGACAGGTCTTGTTCAGGCCTGTTTCTTACCAGAACGTGATGCACAGTAAGTCCGTATCAGTGAACTTACACGAACATACCAGCACCTTAATTTTTCATTTTTTGTTCTAGTTCATTACTTAAAAGGCAACAACTCCCCGTAAAAACAGCGACAGTGAAACAAGGTTTACTGTTCATTCTTGCAGAAAGTGCAGCAGCCTCCACAGTGTCTTCTGATCTCGCCGATATGATGACTATGGCGACCTTTGATGCGCTGGGCCTCCCTCCGTGGGATTCTGACATTGCGTTCTGAACTACAAAATCAATAGCTTTTCCTAAGAAGAAATGAAGAGATAAATGAAAGATAGAATAAAAAAACCTCATGGAAGGCCATAAAACTAAATCTCACTTTATATTAGTCGGTTATACAGTACTGGAAAATACCTCTTTTTAAAGGACTTTTGGTGCCTGCTTTCTGCCACATGAAAAATCTCAGCTATTAAGAACCAGTATCCGTACTATTAATACCTCCCAGCACAGGAGGACTAACCTTAGCACCCCAGTTGCTGAAGTAATGAGAATGTTAATACCTTTCCTTAGTCATGAGGATAAAGTTATACCCCAAACTTTAGTAGTTACCTTTTCCAGAAGTATTACCATTGCATCACATATAAGGAAAGAAGATATGTAGGAAACTATGTACTATTTGCCAACTGCAGAACAACAGTGACATCCAGTGGCTCTCTGATCGACAACTTCACACCTCTCAATTGTCCACACTAACTGCTGAGCTCCCACAGAACTAGTCCTTCCCTATTTTGGTCAACTTTTTCTACTGGTGTGAAAAGCATATCTTGCTTCCTTACTACCAGAAATCTCTCTGAAAGCTGGACTCAGACTAACCCATAATATAACTGGGTGATCCATATTAAAAAAAAAAAACAACAACACATAGCAAAACAACATACAAAAGCCACAAAACACAAAAAAATTCTACTTCAGCTCAAATCACAAACTGGCTTAAATGGGTAGCTGTTGCCCTTTCATTTAACATCTGTGAACACTCAGGCAAATTTTTCTTCAAAATCATGACCTCAGCAAGAGAGCACTTTACTATTACATGTATTCAGATATGTATTTGCCAAATATTTATACTGGGAATGATGATATGGAACTTTCTTACAAGCTCCTTTGCACTTGAAAGCTATCAGGTCAGGAAGTAGAAATGATACCGTGTGACTGATGTGACATTCAAGGCAAATAGTAAATGGTGAATAATAAATACCTGAAAAACTAGTTCCTCTGAGTAATCTCCAAGAACTGCAGAGGAGAAATACGTTTGCCTGAGGAATTCACTGAACAATTTCAAGTAACAAACACATTCGTAAAACACTGGAAGTCAGATCGTAGATATTTCACCAGCACACTCCCAAAATACCTTAGCACACCTGAACATTTTGCACTTTATGTCTTCTTTCATCACGTCACTCACCCCTTTTTATTTGCAGAAGCAAAGATCCATTTCCTAAGCTGCTGCAAGCATGGACAGCCTCTAGGAAGCTCACTCAGCACATTGACTATTGATAACATGGCTACAGCAATTGGATATTCAACAAGGTCTTAGTTAGCCTTTCAGGAAGAATTTATCCCTTGGAAGAATCCAGCCTAGAACAGGCATCTGGAAGAAGTCCAAATGTTTCCTTTGCCACAGTACTGTGTTGGAGATGACATTCCCTTCTCAAATACTGTTGCTTCCCCCATCCTTTCCTATTGTCTCATGCATCTCACAGTCACTGACTGACAGGCTCATATCCCCTTCCCACCTTATCCAGACACCTCTTCTTCCTCGTTAGCCCATTATCATTATCACTATTTCCTTCCCAGAGGCTTAGCCTCATCTTTATGTGTTATCTCTACACACAGACGTCCCTGACTAAAAAGAGTTGAGACCCACTAGGAACTGCTGCCAGGCCTTGCCAGGCCTACCGCAGGAATAGGATCCACATCAGCTTCTCCTCCTATAAGATTCCATCTACCTTGCATCATTACCTCCACTACCATTGTCCTGGCTAGAGAGGGTCACATTTTTTTTCCCAAGCAATAGTTTTCAAATTGAAAGGTGCACGTTTGTTTAAAGCAAAATGCTTATTGGAAATGTGAATTACAATCAGAAGGTAAACAAAAAAAAAAGGAAAAAAGAGAAAAATCAATGGAAAGCTTTCAACAGTATTTAAGAACAAGATGGGATGCTTTTCTTTTGTTTTTTGCTCTGAAATGATAATATTTCATTTAGTTCTTCCAACTGTGTAGGTTTTGTTTTCCAGCAGTTACTCTGTATGTCTTTAGAGACAAATGTTAGATGCAGAATGGCATGTGATCCATAAATAACTAAGGGATAAAACAAAATACAGAAAATTAATATGATATATTAATTATGATATATATGTGATTGATATATATCAATCACAGAGATTGCTTCAGGACGTTCACTCTGCCAGAAAAATTCCTCATTTCCCTTTTACCCTATAAATAATTACCAAAAAAAGTATATCAGGTTTTAACTTTCAAATATTTTAGGTTAAACTTTTGCATGGTAAGAATCATAAACAATTTTTCATTCATCTCTGACAAGTACTCGCCATTTCTGTGTTTGTCATTCTTTAATGGCCCTTTGTCTTCTGTGTACTTGGTGTGGTCACCAGGTGCTCCAGCTCCATTTTTTTTCTCCCATTAATTCTGAAAATTTTCAGAAATTTTCATACAGCTCTGTAAACTGTAAAATCTGTTATTTTTGTAATTTCTACTAAAGAAATCAAGTTTCATTGTAATAGAACCAGGCTATTTCAAAGTCCCCCAAAAAACAATTACTTAATTTAACATATGGAAAATTTGGTTTAGTGTACTAAAAAGTCTTTGGATTTCTCCCCTTATTTTGAAGCCAGCTCTAGAGAAAAGGGCTAGCTGTCTGAAGACATGATCAAATGAGCTAGAGAGATTGTCCTGGTAGAGAAATTCAGAAAGTCACCATCCCGAGCTGGAAGCTGTCAATTCTCAGCTCTTTGTCTCTACATCTCACCAGGGAGGGTAATACCAAATTCCTCAGGAGCCATAGTAGAAAATATTGACTGCCAATAAAACAACCAACTCGAACATTTTCTTACTACTAGGGTGCAACATAACATTTTCATGCCAATAAAAGAAATTTAAAATGTTTACTCTGAAATAAATATCAACAAGCACAGGGCTATATTAAGACTGGAAGGAGAGTGCACAACACCTTGTACATAATTAATTTAGCTTTAAAATGACCAGGTCTGAGCCGCACGGGCTTCAGCCTTTATGAGACCACCTTGGGTCTTGTACTCCCCCTGAGTGGCTGACGTCTGGGCCAACACTGCTTCTGGCACCACTACAGCTTGCTCTGACATATCCAAGTACATTGCAAACGTATCTCTGGCCGCATTAGTGCCATAGCAAGCTGCTGGCGGAAGAAAAGGGCCCATCCCAGCCCCCCCTGGATACGCAACTACCTGCCTTCGGCAACTCACCATGCCTGAAAAAATAGCCATTCCAAAAAAAGTGCATCGCTTTCAGCAATTTCGGCCCTTCCCTCAGCTTGCTGAAGGGCCAATGCACATCCCTTCCCACAGAAGGAAGGCAGTGCTAGTGTGCAGCACTTAGGTGTCAGGGGGCTGGGGCTAGCCCCTTCTGCTGTAGCTAACTCTTAAATCTGTTTAGCTGTATGGGACCACTCCATCAGCTATTTATTTCAGTGATGGACCCAAGAGAAAATCAGAGCGCTAATAGAAAATACCCTAAATCCTGCTGCATACAACAACAAAACATATTTTTTCGGTCTTTAAAGAAAAGCTGACAGTGGCCAAAACATCATTTGCTAGCACTGACAAGGAGTGTCAAATAAGCTCCAGTGCAGTGAATGGGATGTTTGCTATGGGCTTTAAGCGTTGCAGGTTTTTAAGGATTTTCTCTGTGTGTGCCTGTGAACCTAAGCCTGGACTAGCAGCCAACATGTTCCCACATACTGAACACACAAAAAAAAAAAAAAGGCAACAAATGGGCTTTGGAAGTGGAATGACTTCCATACTCACATGTATTTTAGGTGTTACACGTACAACCCATGAGAAATCAAGATGGAAGTCTCAAAGCCAAAAGCCTTCGTCACATACTGGAGAATAACAGAGCTGAGAGTAGCGTGACACACAATAAAAAAATCTGTTCCCAAAGGCAGATGACATGGTGGGCTGCTCTTCTATCCCTGACCTTCTGCCCTCTCTTCTCCTACTGTCTCCTAACACATTACACTTCTGCAGCTCTTGACAGGTATAATAGCCACAATTAATTTCACACATGCACACACACACACCCCCTTCCCAAATTCGACCATCTAAACATTTATCTGGATAACTGAATGAAAAGGACTAGTGTGCAGGAGCACAAAGCGCCCAGCAGCCTTTCAGCTCAGTCAGTAGGGCATGATTGTTAGTCACTGGGCATGTCCAGGGAAAAAAAGACAAATAAAGAAAAAGAAAAAAAAGCAACAGCACTTTCCCCCCATCTTTCATTGCTGATACACTCCTGACTGCACTACGGAGTACAAAACAGAAGTCTTGTTTGGAATAATCATCACAGCAAAAGCAACAGAAGATATCCAACAAAGACAATGAAAAAATGGAGAAGGGATGGCATCACTGCACGGTCTTCTCCTCTGAGCTAAGTCTATGAACGATTGATGCTGAACTTTGAACAGTCAGAAAAGGCTTTGTAAGAACTCTTTTTCTACTTGCCTTGAACAAGACTATACAGTAAGGGTTAATTAGCTGTTTTTGGGGTGTTTTGTGGTTTTTGGGGTTTTTTTACATCACCTGATGCACATTCAAGCTTGACTCTCAAATGGACATAAACAAGCTTTAAGGACAAAAGACAATCTGTTGAGTAGGGTTGGAGGTGTTTCCTGGGAGTCTACAGGGAATTACACTTGATTCTGTCTTATTGAATAATTTCATTAATGATCTGGACAAAGAAGGAAAAATGTGCAAAAAGGCATGCTAATCTGAATCACAGATATTAGATTGGGAACAATTATGAACATCATGGAATGAACTTCAAGAGCACAAGGTGCCCCAGAAACGTTTGAAATACATCCAAGAAATAAAATTCAAGATTAATCCTAGAATAATCCAACATGGAGGAAAATAAACCAATGCACAGACATTGAATGGTTTGGTGGATGCCTCAGGGAAAGCAGAAACTGTTTGAAAGCAATCTTTGCAATTATTTTCTTTAATTTTGTCTGAAATGAAGAATAAACTGTAAAGCCCCCATGAGGGTCTGTGGAGTTGTGACAGATGGGGGATTCCAGTTAGGCGGAGGTTCCTGCTGGGAACTTGTGAGTCAATGCCTTAAGTGGCCTCAGTGGTTTCACTAACACTTCTGCAACATCTTGACCAAAACCAGAAAAAGTACTACAAGAGGTAATCACCCACAAGTACCGAAAGCTGCCTGGGAAAGAAGCAAAGAACAAATGGTTCCTCAGCACTTGAAGAGGTATAGAAAAAGCCAATTCTATCTGGGCTGTGAATAGGCAGATTGCATATCTATAGCCAAGGACTTGTTTAATCAGAAAAACCACCCTGAAAGGTGGTCTTTATATCTTAATTTAGGGTCTTGACTTGAAATTAAATTGGGGTTTTTTAACAGAAAATAGCAGTTTATTTTGATTTTGAAACAAATTAGCTATTGCAAAGTGATCACACAGTCCGAAACTTTAAATAGTCAGTTCTTTGTGCACTGATATTCTGGCACTTACATGTGTCAATTAGCAGAATGGCTGAGCTCTTTCTTCATGAACAGCATAGACCTGCCAGTCTAACATCCCACCACCACTGAAGGGAGCAGACTACAAGACCCCAAACCCTCTCCTTTTATTTCCTGGCTCTGCAAGCCACAAATCCTGCATTTCTCTTACCATCAAGGGGGTCTCATGACCCCAGGCCCCACCAGGACAACATTCAACTCACAAAGCTTCTAAGAAATGAACTTAAAACACTAAGCCAGCAAACATAAAAACCTGCCAGGGCAGCAAACTAAAATAGCTCTGGGAAGAGACTAGTGGGCTCCCACAGCTGGCTTCAGAAAGGAGCTGACCCCACCAATTCGAAAACAGTAGTAGAAGAGCAAGTGAGGAAGACCTCTGTCTTTCAGAGGATGAGAGCCGACGGATCAGGGCTGCTGGCAAAACCATGGCCTTGAGTGGGTGATGAGGCGCAAGATTTTGACAATTCTGCATAGACCACAACACTCAGGGCAGAGATCTGAATAAAGGAAAGTGCTGTGCTGGGCCTTTGCTTCCTAAAGCACAGAGCTGGTTAGAAAGGAACTGTGTACTTTCTTTATAAGGACAAGCAAAACTGAATGTTGCTATTCATGTATGTTAATAACTATAGAAAGTTTCAGTAAAAATGTTTAGATTATTTTCCTAAAGAGGAGAGCACACTTTTTTTTTTTTTTCTTTAACAATGCTTTTAATACAGCAGAACCACACAGATGATAGTACCCCCAAATTTTGAGTCTGAGGCAGGCAGTGAGCACGGAAAACATCTGCCTACATGAGCTACTTTTAGTAAATTATGAGCAAGCAAAATCAGGTTTTTATAAAGTCTTAAGCGGTATTTACTAAAGACACTGCTGAAAGTGCTCCCTGTGCCTCTTCTACATACCCATGAATGCTGAACAGAGGCACGTTTATGTGATTCTTCATTCACTTACATAGATCACTCTTTTAGCTGATTGAAGGCTTATGTAGTCAGCTCTTGCTTGCCGTTAGTTTTAGGGGTTTTTTTTCCAGATATTTCTTATGTAGAGTTGCACAAAATTTCATGATGTCTGAATATCCCCAGAGCTTTTTCCCAATAGGTTACTCGAGCCAAAATTTGCATGGTGTTATCTTATTGCATAAGCATGGGAAAGCTTTGTGGTATAGTCTGCTCTTTTTTGTTCTGCCTATGCCCTCAAAAACTTCGTAGTTTTTCATCATTTCTTACTAATAAAACATATCTCTCTCCTGGAGTTACCTTATGGTTAAATGAAACAGAAAAGGGAACACTTTCTGCAGTAAGACTTTTGCAGTGATGGCAACAGAGCCTACGGTTGCTCTTTGCACATATCGCTTTTTTGACCAGAACAGGATGATTCAGATCAGCAAAGACTGAATAAGGATTACACAGGATCATGTTTCTACCATAGGGAAGCCAGCACAAATGAAAAGAAACAGCGCTGGTCTGATGGTAACGATATTTTTGATAGGTAAATCCTGATGAAGCCTTCCATAGGCTACAAAAGATTTCCAGAGCTACCCAGGGAATCACAACATCCAGACTGAACCATCTACACTTTTTAAGGAGCCTCTACATTTTCAGAGGCCTGAGCACAGGCAGAAGGACATGGATGACCATGCTTTTCCTAGGGATGCTGAGTCTCCTACACAGTCAGCCGAATTCACACACATTACAAGGTGCAGGACTAGAACACAATGACTTATTTTTATTATTTCGTTTGGGAGGAACTACTACTCAATTCCATTTTGGTTCATTATACCACATCCCTCATCTTGGTCTCTGAGCATTTTCCAACAAGACATAAACAAATCACTAACGAGTATGTCATGTGCTTGCCTCTCCCATTTCATTTCCCAAAGGCCATGTTTTCTTTGTTTATCCTGTAGTTCAGCGTGGCTTACTATACACATTACATGGAAGGCTTCATGAAACTTATCTATTTGTACGTAACAATTTATCCCACAACGAGCCTATAGAAGTCTCATCAGCCATCTGGTATTTTTATTTCTCCAGGCTGAGAAAGCAATCATGGCTAATCCTCCTGCGAACTATGGAAGTCAGGTTTTATTTCTCACTTTTCTGTACCAATAACTCTTTACAGTCTGAAGTACGCCAAAGACCCTAAAAATCTGTGTACTCCTCAACTCTTATAGGACCCTAATGCTAGGTGGCTGCCAGAGCAAATGTCGTTCCAGTCCAGAAGAACAAAATTCTCTAGGTATCTTGTGAAAGATCAGATATGCTACAGGAGAATCACTTTTTGCTGAACCCCACAAGTGATACGTATGTATATACTGAATTTCCACAGACCCAGTGGGAAATCTGTGTTATGTTTTAGCACAAGACAACTGAAGTGGCCATGTTTTTCAAGATGCAGTTGTCTGGAACAGAAGATGATGTTTCACGAGCAACTCTTCAGCTAAGGTGCTGTCTTAGGCCATCCTTTCTCCCTTGCACCACCCCTGCCTTTGTGCCAGCCCAAGTCCTTGTGGGGTGAGCACGGCAACTTGGATGAGGGAATCGAACCACCCAGAATAGAACTACTGTTTTGCTAAGTTATTTTTCAAGCGGACTGGTTACAATGGCTCAGCATAGAGTAACAAACATCTGAGGAGGGCAGCTATTGACATCAGCATAAGCAGATCTGCTGTTAAATGTCTAATCAACTAATTGATGCTGAAAGGTTAACGATCAACTCTTTACTTCTTAATTATGTTTTACTTGCTTGAAAGATAATGAATGCAAATCCTGAGAATTACTTCAACGCTGAAAAGAAACTGGTTGCCTTCTTTCTAAAACACATTAACATAAACCTCATTTTGAGTAACCTACAGATACATTTTAATAGAGAAAATTGAACCTTTACCAACAAATGTACATATAGTAAAGATACGGCTGAACTAAAAAAAAAAGTGAAAAGGAGAGTTCTACTGCAGAACACTACCACAGTAGCACTGACATAAATTGGTGATTTGGGCCAGGTATGTTTAGCATTTCTGGGGTGTTCTTCCCCTCTTGTTTAAATATCAACATCCACATAATCACTCACCTAGTCTGGTAGGACCTTGTTCCCTTTGTTGAATTGACTGCACCATCTCTACAAGCTTTTCAGTCTCTTGAGGCATGTTCCATGATATTTCTAGATTATTTTCCCTGGCATACTGGAGAACTGACACATGAATTGAAGTATTGCCTGAAGCAGAAAGAAAATAAACATTTTACGCAGTGGATATGAATGTCTTAAAATAAATCTAAAGGATACATTATGGTTGTGTTTTACATTAAGCTCAGCTAGACACTGATTTTCCATCAGAGTGTGAAAGCTGCATTTTCAATCAAAAGATCAAAACTGAACTATTCCCAGGTGAATACACATGCAAGTATTGCTGGAAACAGTTGCTCTTCTGTCAGGAATTAGCATGCAATATTTTACTGCTGATCAATTTGACCATGATTGGAGAATTTTACTTTATTGATCTCAAAGTATTATTCCTTTTCCATTTTAAAACTGCCTCAGCATCACTTTTTTTTTGTACACATTGTTTTGCAAGAGCAGTAGTTTGATGTCCCATTTGTCTGATGCTCCAAGCTCCCTAGGTGACTACATTTCATGCAAATTTCCTGCTGTCAACCATCACTCGAGTGGCATGCATCAGGCTGCAGCATGGGGACACAGCGCACCCAGGGAGCATGACCTGCAAAGGGGAATGAAGAGAAATTCCAAGTTCTGCTGTTCTCTGCCACCCAGGTTCTGCTTCTACGTTATGTAAGAAGTATGAACAAAACTATTAACAGAGGGTTGATATAGGTAATGAATATCAGATTTGCAGAATTGAACTGGGCAATACCTTGTTTATAATGATTGGATGTACGTCTCTTCATGGTCTTAGAAGGACTTCTACTGTATACTGAAGATTCTTATGTATATAGCACATTATTCTTTATCAATGCTTTGTAAAACATTCATGAATTAAGTTAATAATAGTTGTGATTTCATGTACCCAAATGTTGCAGACCTATATTGACCTTAATATTGTCTACTCACTACACTTTGCAAGTTTTTCATGGTCTTCCTCATTTTAAAGTCATGACCATAGTGAGAAGTCCTTTCATAGCTACATTATTAATGTTGTGTTCTTAATGATGTAACGTTTGTTATTACAGACTTCAAACATGAAGAAAAGTGCTAGGTTAAAATAAATTGTCTTATTGCTTAGTTTGTATTTATTTCACTTGGCTTGCTTCTCTATATCGTGCATGCACACAATTCTCAGAAACAGAATGTCATCCATGTATGTTCCCTTAAAAATTTAAGTTATACTTAAATACATACTTTTCCTCGATGAGTTCTCTAATTTGTGCAAGTGCTGGGAGTCACCTCTTTCCAAAACACAGGCACAACACAAATATCTCAACACCCTGTGAGAAACACCACTAGCAACAGCAGTTGCTCCACGAAAATGGTTTAATGCTGAATTGAAAAAGCAAAGTTCTGATTAAAAAATCCATATTTTTTAAAACAAATGCTACTGGGAAAACACAGGATCCTGTGCAGCCCTTGCCATGTGGACGGACGTGGTGCAAGGGCACATGATATCCTAAATTACTACAGGTGTCACATGGTCCCTTCATGTATGTGCAGGATATAGGGCATTCTCCCAGGCTGACTGCACAGATAACATCTGTGCTGAATGACGTACCTAGGGGTGTACCTCTCATCAGTACGTACTGTGCAAGCTCAGTGGCTCTAGCACTCCCAAGAAGTGTCTGTCATTCAACATGGGTCAGGAAATACACCTTTAAAAGTCACTTTCAGCACCCTAGGTTAACCAAAAAGGGCTGGTCAGAACCAGAAATTCCCTTTCCAAAGAACAAAACCTTGCATTTGGGCCAAAACTAAACCAAAACCACTCTGAATTATCCATTCTTACTTGCACCAGTATTGGTCTTGAATGATTATCTTCAAGTCTGTTGAACCTAATCCAGAACTGAATAAAACCAAACACGTATTATTGGTTTTTTGCCACAGAATGAGTTCAGCTAAATCTCCATCCTATGACAGGGACTTCTTTGCCACTTTGGCACACACACTTTTTATGCTCAGTACAGTATAAAGGGAAGTACTCATCAGAGCTGCTGTCCGAGCTATTCCTCATCACACGATTCCCTGAACTGGATGTCAAACCTTAATTCACCTGAGCCAGAACAGCTTGGTTTGGGATGAAACTGAGCTGCATCTGAACCAAAAGCTTTACTAGACTGATTTCCCCAGTATAATTTTTTTTTTTTTTGAAGGATTGGAATGAGTCATTTAAAAATAAAAATTAAAAATACTATATTAAGAAGCTATTTTATCAAGGATAAGCAAATAATACAAAATGTCTTTATGTGTTTGAGTTCAAAGATGGGTACATACTGATCTCAGCACTTTGAATAAATGCCCGTACAAAGTTTTTCATTTCCTCAAACTCTGATACTCCAATATTGGAACTTCCATCCAGAAGAAACATGACATCCATCGGTTTGTTGCACAACTCTGAAGAGAGGAAAAAACAGTTTGTTTTTACATGATAACCAGAAGTAGCATCTGCTAACCAGTTGGTAGGAGCAGAAAAGGTGGAGGCACCTACCTTTTGGGAAAACAAAGTAATATAATGGCCAGTTGAAACAGTAAATGATAGCCCTTTAATGAAACCTTGAGATTTATATTCAGTGGGATACATGGGTATTTCAATTCCTGCTTTTCTGCTAATGCTATTTTATTCGTAGGGGACTAAAACAAAAACAACAGGAGGAAAAAAAAAGGAAATGAAACAACAAAACCCCAGTTGCAAACAAACAAAAACAAACCAGGAGAAAAACAAACAAACAAAACCCCAAAACCAAACCAAACAAACAAAAACAGTGAAGCCTCTTCAGGAAAGAGGAAGTATAATTTTCATTTGCCTGCTTGAGGCAGGCAATTATTTTTTTCTTCCTTCAACCTCTAACCTATCTGAAAGCTACTGTATGTTACTGACAAATGGAGCCAAGGACTTCTGAGACTACAAAAGGCTGGCTGCAGGTCTGTGCTCAGTACTGCTGAACTGGGGCAGCACCCTCAGCATCCAGTGAAGATAAACAGTCCTTCCTTGGCATTTGGACAACAAGATGCCAGATAAGATATGGGAATCCTTCACATTTCAGTGATGTAAGGGGGAAATGGAGGAGGCAGAACAAAGGAAAGAGGAAATTACACAGGAAATATGTCCAACCTTACCTGGAATTTCTGTCCAAATTTTACGAGAGCAGCACGACTGCAGCACTAATTTAGGTGCTTCTTCAATAAGTGAGCTATAACTGTGCAAGATTATTGGGTTATTAGGCTGACTGATCTTTCTGAGCTCCTGGATATTTGCATTAGGGGTTATGCCTATGGGAATAACGTTTATGCTCCTGGGAGGCCGCGTGATAACATCAGTGGAAGGACTGGATGACACCATATATACCAAGTGTGGAACATCTTGCCTGCCCCCATTCACTGGTGTAAATGTGTGTTTGGAAACATAATTGAGTGCATTCCCACTGTTGGTTGCCTTCCCTCCTTGGTAGGGTATGCTCTTCACCTTCTCAATAACGCTTTCCTTGGACTGTATTTCCCTAAAGGAATACTCTAGTGTGACAGTCTCTGAATACTGCATGACTGTAACATGAATATCTTCCTGTCCCACATTCATTTCTGTGATAACCCTCTCAAGGAATTTCTTGATGATATTGAAATTTTCCTCCCCTACACTGTCAGATCCTTCCACAATAAAAGCAATGTCCAGCCTTTTGTGAGCTGGTTTTTCTGAAAAAGGTGGTGGTGGTGTGAGTCCCCAAGGGGGAATTAAGATACTGGATATTGTTGGAGTGACCGTAGTTTGTAAAGGCAAATCTTCAGGTCCAAGACCACATAGATGATCAATGAGGAGATCCTTATTATCCATTAGCTCTAACACATTGTTCACGAGGAAGGCTCTATTATCTGGTGACTGCTTTTCAATGAACCTGATTTGCTCCATATTAACATATGGTCCAATCCCCACAGGTATTACTGAGATTTTTTTATTCTTCAAAACTGGGAGGATGTTGCGAAGTTTTCCCGGAGACCTGCTTGCTATGAATAGCACTGCAATTCTTGCAGCATTAGTCCTTTCTGCTTTTCCAAATACGTGAAACACAATGTATTTAAGGACTTCAGAGGCTGACGCTGCTTGATCACCTGTGTATTTTATGCTTTGGACAATTTTTCTCATCTGGGACTGTGTTTTGATATCTTTCAGGCCAAGATAAATTGTGGGGCCAGCCCTATACACTAGAATTGACACTCGGATTTTCTTTTGGGAGATGTGGAGTTTCTTCATCATGCCAGTTATGAAAGTCTTCAGTTGTTCAAAGTCCTCCTCTGACAATTTATTGGAACCATCAATTAGGAAGGCCAAGTCCATCATCTTGCTGCATGAGTATTCACTGGGTGGTAGTTCAATGTCCTCCTCTGGCACAGGTGTTGTCAGTGCTAGGGTGTCCTCCACTGGTTCGCAGGCTACACAAGTTAAGTTCTTGCCTTCACACAGACTACAAAAATCACCAAATCAGACTGTGAAAACTCAGCACTTAACACATCACCCACATATAATAAAAGAATGACCATGTAGGAACAGTTAAATATCTCAAAACACAACAATACCAAAACATGATGTGAATGGGTTTTTTCCCCATCCCATTTCCCCACAACTCTCCACAAGGTGTTGTACAGCTACATGCTGTATGCTCACGCATGTTTCTTTAGATCTAGGAAACGTACGACAAACTAGGATGTGTTTGTCAGAGGAAATTCTCCTTACAACAGCCTCTGGGAGAATGTGTAAAACCTGTGTCTGGAAACTGTCTAGAAACCCACTGAGCTTCAGAACATGGCTGCCGATAAGGAGCTGACGGACTGGACTGGCAGATCTGGTTTGCTTCACAAGGAAACAAAACATGAGGTAAACTGGAGGCAGCTAACACCAAGTAAAATCCTAGAGTGGGAAAGATGCTTTCAGCTTCGACACGACTTAGCAGACCCTGCGAGGAGGCCAGGTTTACCGAGATTTTAACCTTAGTGAAAATGACAACAGCCTTTTTCCCACCTCTGAAGTGCTCTGTGTTCCCTTTCTTTTTCCTGACTTCATTTTGTTTTGAATACAGCTTTGGCACATGTTCATCCTCTGTTTCTTTAATGCCTCTCTTATCATCCTTTTATTTACCATGTTCTCTTTTTCAGTCCCTTTTCCCATATTAAAAGAGGTATTTAATCTATAGCTGTCATCGCTTTTTAGTCCTGTGTCTTCCCTCACCGCTTCTACTCACCTCTATTAGTACATTCTTCTCTTCCCCTTCCCATCTCACGTCCCATCTCTCTTTTCCACTATTCATCTTTCTGTACTGCCATGAGATTTTTCACCTCTGTCACCCTCCACCTTTTAGGAATTTGCTTATAATTTTGCTTCTACCTTTAGCAAGGCTTTAACACTTCTGCCCTTCTAATTCCTAGTTGCATGATTCATTTTGTATATCAGAGCAAAGACCATGACTGTGCTCATGCACAGGGTGGTACAGACCCAGTCCATATATTCTCCTTCCCTTCCTGGACAGTCCAAGAAACAGAATAGGAAAAGTTCATGAAAGGGAAAGGAAACTTGCTTGTTTTCACTGCCAGACAAAACCTAGGATGTATGAACTAAGTGAGTCAATACTGGAAGAAGATGCCATTTTCCATGAAAAGACTTCACTTTACACGTGGCACTTGAGTTTAAAGTTCTCTTATTATATTATTTTCAAGCTGCTTTCAGTGTCTTCCTAATTGAAGAATGCACAGCTATATTTGGCATTAACGTATAGCAACAGAAGATTTATTATTTTAATCCTAATATGAATGACCCTCATCTAGTTTCCAAATTCCTTTGGATATTTGCTATGAAATTCATTTTTGTGTAATATTTTCTATTGTTTGTACAGATGGTGTAGGCATCTAAATTAGGTGACAGCTATGCAAAAGGATGTTTCCCTAGTGAGGTAAGTTTTCCTAATGTTCTGAAATATTTTGTGAGCAGCATCCAGTGTATCAACATTGAAGATAAATTATTATTAAGAATTACAAAAATTAGGGAATAGAAACTCATTTATGAGGATTCTTTTTTGACCTTTAGGTGGAATTCAAGGCTCTTTTTGTGTATACTGTTGAAAAAAAAAAAATTAATTGATTAGCCTAACAGTCTCATGCCTGGGCTTATAGCACAGACGTATGCTAGCTGTGGCAAGAGGCCAAGAATTCAAAGTTCATACCCATTCAGAGCTTCTGTGAGGTTCAGAGCATTTGGAGCTAAGGTGTTAGTCTGGACTAATAGCTGCTGCAGTTTTACAACTCAGTTTCTATTAAATATGGTCAAATTACAAGATGGAAAACTCTCTCATATTCACAGCATTATAAGTGACTGAAAGTATCCATCAAGGGTGCAGACATCCAGAGAATGCCAAACTTTCAGATACCACAGGCCATGGCATAATATGCCGCTGGGCAGTATACAGAATGAAAATCAGTCTCTGCTACATTGCAGTTGACGGCCCTCTTCCTGCATGATGCACAGCCTTGTGCACCCTGCCATTAATTTCATTGTATTTGGAAATAAAAGCATGCAGGATCAGGTCACAGGATATCATCTTAAAATCTTGGGGAAATTGGTTTTCCAATAATAGTACACAATTCCAACCGCTAATAATCTCAGCGAGTTCTAGACCGAGTGCACATTCAGATCTCACACTATAGGTAGGATTTTTTCAGTCCTGGCAGAAGGAAAGAGTCTGATGGCTTTATTGATGTTGAATCACACTTTACACAAAAAGAAATGGAATATCTAAAGCCAGTAGGGCCACCTACACATGGGAAAAAAAAATCTTTTTTTAAAGGAATTTATGAATTTCACCTGCTTAAATTCAGCTGACATCCTATAATCCCTACTGTCACTGAAAAACTTCAACTTCAGATTGTATGTGAAGGGATATTGACATACAAGGTGGCTTCCAAACTTCAGTGGTATATTTAAAGTTACATCCAAAAACTTATTCGTGCAGATGTTCTTCATCTCTCTCCTTTCATCGTACTCAACAGGCATGCTATATCACTGCATAAACCCAACGTACCAAGACTGACAGCGCTGTGGATTATCTCTGTTCAAAACTATTCTCCTTCCATGTGGGATCTTGACATCTCCAGCTGTACACACGGGACAGTCTTCTGGACTGACACAATCCAGGGACAGTTCATCAAGTATTTTCCCTGTTTCAAAATAATACAGTAGTATAAAGATGCCAATTTTCATGAATTTTCAAACTAATCATTGCATTTACCTTGCTATGAAAAACATAACAAGGCTTCTGAGTTGGGGTGAAACATGCTGAATACTGTGCTTGTGTTCCAGCCACTTCCTGCTCAACACAGAGAAGTATTTCCTTCCTTTATAACCCTTTTAATTTAGATATTGCAAGTACTCCACCCAGTGTATATCCTGCAACAGCCAGTACCATACAGAAAGTGAATATATCTTTAGAACAAAGCATTAAAGATGACAGGAGAAAATAACATCTTCCTTTTTACATGCATGTTATTTATTTCTCCCATTATCCCCTACCTCACTCTGACCAGCAATAGCAGGGCCCAGAATAGCTATTTCAGGTCCCCTTTACCCCCATGTCTTCTTACTCTGCCTTTAGGAGCTATTTATTCCTCTTAGTTTTCACTCTTGCTTTGTATCTTGCTTGTCTTTCACTCTTTTCCTTTCTGTCTTTCCTCTCCTCACCCCATATTTCAGGTATTTTTTTCTTTCCCTTTTCTACAAGACAGTTGTTGGGAACAGTTAAGCTGAAAGCTCAGGCTCAGGGGAGGATGTCTGCTGGACACTCTCAGGAGCATCAGAGCCTTAGAGGTAGTAAGCAGGTCAAGACAATTGGTTTCTCCCCCTGCCATAGTTGCCCTGAAAGAGAGCATTTGATGAGTGTCCAGCACAAATTCACACCCTATTTTAACCACATAGTCAACAAACTCTTGTTGCTACACAGCCCTTAATCCTCCTATCTTCCATTCTTACCACCCCATTCCCATCCTCTCATTCTTGCTGGCAGTTTCATTCTCCTCTTCTCGGCACCACTTCCTGCCTTCCACATACTGTGCACATTTCACAGACTCAGACCAGGATGCCTAACCACCTTCCTCCTTACGCAGTAAGAAATTGGGGTGAAAACACATCAGTAAGCCTATTAAGGAATTAACTGCTAAATAGAAGTCTTTCACAATTTCCAGCCTTACAAATGTGTGAATATTTCTGGGCTGTAAGACTTCTTTTCATTCAATAGGAACATCTAGCAGGTAAAAAAAAAAAAAAAAAAAAAAAAAAGACTCTACAGCAATACCTACAATTATGAGTAGCATGGCAGAAGAAGGTACATAACTGCTTAAAGCAAAAGATGGACTTACCTGCAGGACAGTGTACATGGCATCCTCCCACACACTGCAGAGGGCACTCCAAAGGCTGTGGGTGCTGGCACGTTACAGGACAAGCAGGCCCACAGCTATTATATCGCCATTCACACTGATAATCTAATTCTTGTTTATTCAGATCCTCACAGCTTTGTGCTAAGAGTGAAAGAATAGGAGGGGGAAAAAAGTCAAACCAGAGTGTATTCACCATGCCTCTCAGAACTATGACACCAACCTTTGTACAAAGTGGACCACATACACATAGAAAAAGAAAGATTTCCATCTTTAAATACAAATATATTTATTCCAGTGCATTCAGGGTAGGCCACTTCTTCACACTCAGATTGTTTTTCACATAATGAAGTACTTGCTCTAGATCAGAGATTGTTTGGTTTGCTTGGTGTTGTGTTTTTGGTTGTGTTTTTATTTTTCTTAATTATTAAAACAGTTGTAAAAAAAAAAACTTTAAATTTCAATTAAAAAGAAGAAAACGTACAGAAACCATTTCTTTCTCTATGTTTGTTTGCATCAAGGGCTATTATATCGCCTTACTGAGGGAATGCTTTTTCCAGGTATGGTTCTGCACATAAATAGAAAAGGGACAGGAAATGTCACTGTGAGCTGCTAGCCCAGTCCCATTAAAGTGAACTTCTCCAGACATCAGTGGGAGCAGAGCTGTATAACAACAGCCTAACTGAGCCAACAGCTTACTGATAAAAAGCTTGGAGCTTTTCAGTCAATTCTTGCTCCTCTACCCTGTACTTACGGCACAGAGTTGGTGATCTCCAGTGGACAGCAACGCCTTTTTGTGCACAGACATGGGCATAGGCTGCTATAGCATCACAGAAGCAAGCACAGTCGCCAATAGATTCACAAGCACAAGTGTCATACATGCAAATATCAATGTAGGGCTCAGGATTCACCTACAAAAGAGAAATACTGGTTACAATCACTGATTCCCCTCATGTCCTTCTTCTAGACACATTTAACCTTCAGATGGTGTGCCTGTTCCATTCACCAAGAGTTGAGGTGCCACACAATTCAGTGTAGATTTTCAAGCAGAAGTTATTCTATTCTATATTACTAGGGAGGTTCCTCAATTTTCCCATGAAGCACCAGCTACAGGACAGGGTCAGAGATAAGAAAGCCAATTAGTCAACCTCCTCCAAGTCCTGTCTGTCAGCACAACCATACCTTTCCCCTCAGCTGTAATCAGTGTCAGCATACATAATGCAGAATTGAAGAATGTGAAACACATGACACAATACTCACAACTTTTTTGCATTCTTCAAAGAGATCCCCAGACAAAATGCTGCATGACGTTTCTACCATCACCTGCTTCACTACATTTCCATTACACAGTGGAGACATCAAGGTCTGTTCCCGGTTGGGCTTAATATTGGAAGAGACAAGCACACATTGCATTAGCCTTCAAATCGAAGTAAGAGACTCACTAGCAAAAGACATTTTAGACATTTTTCATGGCAAAAGAAATTGTTAGGACAAATCCTGCCATGGCAGAATGCAGAGTAGAGCAGGTCACCTCCTACATTTTCTCCAGCTCTTACTTGTATACTACAGTTTTAACATAGGTATTTTGATGGCAGAAGTCCCACTGTACCAAACATCTACCCTGAAAAATGATTGTTCACAGCTTTACAGAGGCCCACAAGACTCACAGATGCATCTAATTTATGTAAGAGCAAGGAGCACCAGTACTGACACAGCATTTATCATGGAGACCGTATGCAGGTTCTGTCCTATGCCTATTACACTGAAAAAACGAGGAGCTGCTCCTTCTCAATCCTGTCCTGCAGTCTCAGCCTTCATTATTGCAACTTCTTCTGTCCTCATCAAGGACAGAAGTCATATCTAAAAAGGGGCATTCAGGAAGCTAATGCTGTGGCTATATCCCACTTACACATAATTGATCAAACTAATCCAAAAGATTTCATGCGATCAAAAATAAATATTTTATTTTCTGAAATTTAAATCTTTTAAGGAGAGATCTAAAAAAGGCCTTTTTATTCCCTCTTTCTCTGAAAATGTAGGTGAATTTTCAAGAGAAATTTTTCAGCCTTAAAGCTGTCATCTGAATGAAATGCTTCATTTTATAAATCATAGAATCATGGAATGGTTTGGGTTGGAAGGGATCTTAAAGATCATCTAGTTCCAACCTCCCTGCCATGGGCAGGGACACCTTCCACTAGACCAGGTTGCTCAAAGCCACATCCAGCCTGGCCTTGAAGACATCCAGGGATGGAGCATCCACAACATCTCTGGGCAACCTGTTCCAGTGCCTCACCACCCTCTCCAGGAAGAATTTCTTCCTGATATCTAATCTAACCCTCCCTGTTTTCAATTTGTACCCATTACCCCTTGTCCTATCACTACAGGCTCTTGTAAAAAGTCCTCTCCCAGTACCCTTGTAGCCCCTTCAGATACTGGAAAGCTGCAATGAGGTCTCCGTGGAGCCCCCTCTTCTCCAGGCTGAACAAGCCCAGTTCTCGCAGCCTTTCATCATAGGAGAGGGGCTCCAGCCCTCTGATCATCTATGGGGCCTCCTCTGGACTCGCTCCAAGTGGTCAATATCCTTCTGATACTGAGGGCTCCACAGCTGGATGCAGCACTCCAGGTCGGGTCTCACCTGGATAACAAGTTGTCTTCAGGTTGTTTCCTCTCACTTTTTGATTTGGAAATACTTTGGGTCATAGCTATTACCAGGTAAAGACAAGTTTTTATTCAAATTCATTCTTTCAAAACTCTGTATTTGGAAAAGGTGAAGTATACTCTCATGTGTAGCATAATTAGTATGTCATGAAATCACCTAATTTCTCCCACTAGGACATAGATAATACTTTCAGATAGCAGGTAACCTGCTCAAAATTCAGAAGCATTGATAAGGCAACAAGGTCTTACACGCCCTCCTGTATCTTGCTTTTTCTGTTCAAGCCTCTCCAGTCTGAAAATAACAACTGAATGCTCTTTAGAAAAGATCAAGATGTATATAGAAAGAAATTAATCTTGGCCTTTAGTTGTTCATAAAGGGACAGGCTAAGATTTGGGATACAGAACTTTGGATATTGAAATACAAAATTTTTATCTGAACTCCCCTGTCTGAAAATTACAGCTGTTTTTTTAGATTAAGCTCTAAAATGAGATTCCCAGTCATACCTGTATTTCAAGCATCTGTGCTGGCCTCTACTCTACAGATTGGCAATTTTAACATTCATTGGAAGCCAGGCAGTGCAGAGGCCTTAAATAAGTTAATTGATCTTCTATCAGATTTCAGGAAATAATATTGTCTAGCAAAAATATGGGGTAAGGAGTTAATTTCTATTTATTTTTATCCTTTCAAACCTCTTTGCCTGCTCCTGAGTCTTACTGCAGCCCATATTAATCAGTTTTCACAGCTCATTCGCAATTACCTTTTCAACATCAGCACAGTATGGATTAACTTTCCAAGAATTCCCAAAGTCAACTGGATCTACTTCAAGATGTTCATTGCTGCTGGTCAAATCATTGTTTTGGTTCCCATCAAAATTTCCACACAGACCACACACTTGATCCTTGCAGGGTAAGAAACACAAAATAGATAAATCTTACATCTGTAGACTGGCTTAGGGTTTTGTTAAGAAGGCTTTTTAGCCTAGTGCTTTAATGGCATGAAGCTTGAAAACTGAATTATCCCTGGCCTTGCCAAGTTCACGAAAATAGACACAGTCTCTAACAAAGAAAGTTTAGCTCTTATTCCCATTCTGCTTTGCTGAAAGTAGGACCATACTGTCTCCAAGGACTCCAGGATGCAAGATGACAACAGATGTGTGGTGCCTCATGGCTCTGTTTGGAGTATGTCCCTACACTCCCTGGGGGTGACAGTCCTATCATATCACCATCACTATTAAATCTGGCTCTTTATACTGATCTTCTTGAATACAGAAGAAGTCACTCAAGGCAGAGTTATTCTGAGGCACCACAACATTCATTCTTTCTCTCATAGCTGATGTCCAATGACCCAGAATTTACACCTTAAAGCTGAACTACCAGGAAAGTAAGCAAACCTTATGGTATTACAAACAAAATCCCTTCATTTTCAAGCAAGTGTCTAATACTCCATGGAAATCTATCAGCATGTCTGCATTAAGAAAAGAAATGCTATTCCCCAGAGAAAGGGTAAGTGCATTCTTTAGTGAGAAGTAGTAGTTAAGCAAAAAAACACTTACTTTGAAATTGCCTTTTAAGATAACTGAGACTCCCATGGCCAGATCCCAGGTCACACTGATGCTTTTGCCCAGTAAAATAATGTAATAACGGCCAGACTTCATGACATCTAAATCACTGTCATCTTTAGGAGGCACTTTGATGTTTACCTGAACAAGAAAAACACATTGTGCATCGATTGTATCTCTCATTCCTATTTCTTGTAGGTCACCTGCCCAGTGGGACACGTGCTCATGGGTTAACAGCTATTTTCAAGCATGCTGTTCTCCAGAGAACAGAGAGTTCCCATACACATGCTCTGGAGCAAAACTGTACCAAAGGTATGGGTAAAGAACTGAATTACAGGCTTCTATCTACACTGAAATGTTGCTGTGGATAAATTATTGCCTTAGAAGAAACACTTCTGAATAGCTAATTGTTATACAATATTTCAATCTCATCATGTTTCTATAATTTTGAATGGGGCAATGTCCCTTGTGCTCCTGGGGTATAATATAAACTCACCACAAATGCTGATACTCAAAGCAATAATTGTCAAATGAAGGAGGGCTGATAAAGAGGTCAGGGTATGCACAATTAACAAGCAGTTTAGTATTTGGTCAACAGTTCATTGAATAGATACATTTTCTTTTTATTTCATCTTTTCAGGAAACGAACAATTCTCTGTTCCTGAGGCGGGCAGTGACAGAAGTGCTGTATAGGTTTAAATGTAATTCAGACTGTGAGAACCACAAGCGTCGGCAGTCTGTGATTCTGAAGAGCACAGATTCTGAAGTAAGGAAGGATTTTCTTCCCTACCAGCTACGTCAGCAAGAAGAATCCTGAGAAATGCCTTTCAGTGTCTTCATTTTTCCATCACTTTTACTTCCCCTGTGCGCCTCTTTCCATCTGGCTGCAAAATCACCGCCTCCAGCTACTAAGATTTTAAGAGATTAATATAAAATGCTTCCTTTCACACCATAATCCCCTTACAATGGGAACATTATTAGGATTATTAACCACATTTGGAGAGAAAAGTCTGGCATGGCTGTTACTTTAAGCACCACTAATGCATTAATTGAAAACTGCTTTATTCTGAAAAAGGCAGATGAAAACTTTCAATCAGTATAATAATGATTAAAGCAAGGCAGAAAGAGGAGCCCACAAACCATTCACCCACTCCCTAGTTTGAGGGCAAAATATTTCCTTATCGCAGTACTACTTCTTGCTCAATTCAGTAAAAGCTCAGCACCGTAATTCAATTCTCTTCATCTCTGTCTTATTACCAGAAACTTTTATCCCCAGAAAAGACAGTTCACATCCTCCAAGGATCTCCTAAAGAGGGTCTTCAATGCCTTTAGGGAAAATACGCTAAAAGATATTTTAGGAACTGGGAGGTTTTTCATCCTCACCTATGCCCAATGTATTACGATACAGTCTAGTCACACGTGGTCCCTTATCTTCTAAATATAGTAGTCTGTCTTTCCAAACACAGGCAAAAAACAGGACAAAGCTGAGCTGGGAGGTTGACTACAATAACAGAATTTCTATGTTTATGGAGGCTTTTTGCCCAACTATGAAGCCATAAACTTTCAACTTTGCAAACTGGTGGATTTATTTGTTTCAGAAGAGCAAAAATTATTTCTCAAATTTTATTTTTAATGTGAGCCAAAACTGTGACATAAAGATATGTCAGTTAAGCCCCCATTTACTTAAAATTAGAAGCTGCTCTCAATACCTTAAAAAATGCTGCTTAATCTTAATGGTAAAAAAAATACCTGAATCTACCCTTGCTTCTAAGGATTCTTGTGGAAAAGGAGTGTAGGAAGTCATTACTGGGTAAGAATTTGCCTAAGAGTCTTCCTATCAGTTTTTTTTCCTTAACCTGTATTTTGGTTGCTATAATTTCTGGGAAAACCTTCTTTAGATATTACACTGAGCCCCACACTCTCAAGAAAGACAGCTAAAAATTCAGTCAAGGTTGTGTGGACAGTCTTGTGATACAGACCCAGCTCTTGCAAGGACATACCATCTCAGGAACTAAACACCTTCTGTTGCTGGAGTTGCTGCGTGCCTAATCACCTCCTGTCTTTTCTGGTCATTATTTAGGTGTTCAAACAGAACCACAGCTCTACTGAAAATACGTCCCTTAAAGAACTTTCCAGACAAAGCTTGGGTCTACGGACTCATCCCTGCACTATTATTCACCCTCACCCCAGGGAGGGGATTCTTCAGTAGCAGAAATACAGGATTGGTTGGGCAACCGTTATGTCCGATGTCCACTCCTCCGGCAACCAAAAGCCTACACGGATCGTATGCTGTCCAAGATGCACTGCAGAGACAGTATTAACATCGGCCATGTTTTACGTGTTCTTGTCAAGCATTGGTGGCATGCAGCAAATTATAGGCAATTGCAAGCTGAAAACCTGGTTCAGCTTTGTCTGTTAACCCAACACAAGGCAAATGTAGGGTGGTTTCATGTTTCACTGCGAATATTTTTGCAAATCTCTGGTCCAGGTGCCAGTTCAGGGCACACACTGCAAACAGAGCAATTGAAACACTATAATCCACTGCAGCTCTGTAATGTTTGAACACGCAGAAGGTCTTAATTGTTACAGTGCCCAAGGCAAAGAGCTAAACTCTGCCCTTCGGAAAGTTTGTTTCCTTCTGTGAAGGCACCCGGGAGGTGGAAGTGATTCTTCCTCAATTCTTTAGTGTTTGTTGGTAGGAAACGGAAAAAAAGAAGAATCCAGTCATCTGTTTTTTCCATCTGACAGTTTAACAGGGGAAAGGATGGTGATAGAATCATAGAATCATAGAATGGTACTACTTCCTTATGTAGTATCAACTTGTTTCAGCCATGACTTCTTTTATTTCCTGTGTGCTCAGTACTTCAGATAGCTAAATTAGGTCTGACGTTTTACTAGTCACAGGACAGTCACTTCTTAGCTCTTCCTTAAACTTAACCTTACTTGAAATAGACTTAGGCCTCCCACGTTCAGAAAGGGCATTCCTCATATAAGCTTGCATTGAGCAGCGTACTTATCAGAGATAAATTTATTGGCATCAGCCAGAAATACCAAAATGGCATGATACCTCCGGGAGAAAAATGGGTAATTACAATCCTGCTAATCTGTTCATTTTATGATCTGATTTTCAAGAACCACTGAGCAAGAGGTCATTCATGCCTCATCTTGCTAAACAACCTGAAATTCTTTTCCCGCAAAAACATTGGAAGAAAGAGAACAGAAGTGTACATACGTTTCCATTAAACAACTCTATTTCCCCACTTTCATACAGAATGATAACCCTTTTGGTGCACTTTTCTCCAGTGAAGCCACAGCCTTCATTTGAAATTAGTATTCGGAATGTCCCAGGGTCATCCTTACAGAAATCCTATCAGATAAAAATAAATGAATGAGTCATTAATGTGGAACATTTGAAAAACACACACAGATCTATGGAGAAAAAGGAAGCTGTGACCAGTAGGACATAAGTTGGCTTGCCAACTGTTACCATATTCATTATTTTGTTCTTAGCATTGACATGTGGTCACCCCTTAAAGAATGAGGTACACTCTGCCAGTGACGCACACACGTGCATAATTTGCAGGGTATTCTTTGGCAGGAACAATCCATGCTATTACAGTGTCTGTGATATTTTAAAGATATAGAATGGACACAGCATGCACCTTCATACACAGATATTAATTGATTTAACAGTGGAAAATGACTCTGCAGCATTAATGGTAAAACAAAAATATAAACCTAGAAGGTTAGGTTAGAAAGAAAATTAGAAAGAAACTTAGAAGCATAGAATCATGGAATGGTTTGGGTTGGAAGGGACCTTAAAGCCCACCCAGTTCCACCCCCCCTGCCATGGGCAGGGACACCTTCCACTAGACCAGGTTGCTCAAAGCCACATCCAGCCTGGCCTTGGACACTTCCAGGGATGGAGCATCCACAGCTTCTCTGGGCAACCTGTCCCAGTGCCTCCCCACCCTCTCCAGGAAGAATTCCTTCCTGATATCCAATCTAAATCTTCCCACTTTCAATTTAAACATGTCACCCTTTGTGCTGTCACTACAGGCCCTTGTAAAAAGTCCCCCCCAGCTTCCTTGTAGCCCCTTCAGGTACTGGAAGGTGCTATAAGGTCTCCCTGGAGCCTTCTCTTCTCCAGGCTGAACAAGCCCAACTCTCCCAGCCTGTCCCCATAGCAGAGGGGCTCCAGCCCTCGGAGCATCTTTATGGCCTCCTCTGGGCTCACACCTGTCTATATTCTTCTGATGCTGTGGGCACCACAGCTGGATGCAGCACTGCAGGTGGGGTCTCACCAGAGCAGAGCAGAGGGGGAGAATCCCCTCCCTCGCCCTGCTGGCCACGCTGCTCTGGATACAGCCCAGGATACGGTTGGCTTTCTGGGCTGCCAGCGCACACGGCCGGCTCATGTTCAGCTTTTCATCCCCCAGCACCCCCAAGTCCTTCTCCTCAGGGCTGCTCTCCATCCACTCTCCACCCAGCCTGTCCTTGTGCTTGGGATTGCCCCGACCCAGGTGCAGGACCTTGCACTTGGCCTTGTTAAACTCCATGAGTTCAACTGTTGAACTTGCTACACAGGTTTGAGCAAAATGCTTGATGTCCATATTATCCAACCTGTACGTCAATAATCATTACAACAATGTCAAACTACTTCTTGAGAGCAATTATGTAGTTTACTGTATTGATTTTTAAGTCAAATATTTCTGAGATGCAGGGAGAGTTAGCACTACATTTATATGATTACTCATGACTATCAGGGCTTTCACGTTTTTTGAGGGTTTTTTCAGTATACAACTTTTAAGAAAATGAACCTGTCTGTATTTTTTTGTGTTTGTCATCTGAGGAAAAGATCTCATTTTCATTTTAAGTAGTTTTGTAGAAGTGAATGTTATGTATGGCTCATAAGACTTTTACCCAGAGCTCTCACTAGTGTCAGGGTGATCAGACTTCTAAAGTAATCCAGGTAGCATCAAGGTCGGAGTGTATTTCAAAGACCTAGCCAGAGACAGGTTGATCACACATTCCTGCCCAAGAGGAATGCTTCATGAAAAGAGCCTGTGGGGAAAATAGTAGCCCACCCAAGAAACATGTCACTTTGTAATGGCAGAAGGCTGTTCTTATCAATCAGTAGTAGATCCAACTAAAATTAGGCCAAATTTTCAGAGAACTTCTTTTGCACACACATTTTTAAATACATAATCAGTTGCATTTGTAGATAAGCCTTAATCTTATTTAAGTCTGAATTTCTGGATGCTTTCACAAGTCCCACAGGTTGATATTAGTGTGCTATGCCTTTATCCACCTCTTCTCTTTGCTGCAAAGAAAATGGATATTGTAAATGTACTCCAAAGTGGTTGGTGCATGGAAGAGGACAGTGACTTTGCCAAGTTGAATGAGCAGTGTCTGTGCTCTGGAGGCATTTAGAGAAGGCTGACCAAGTACTTCTTGCCTCACTCAGACAGTAAGTCATCGTGACAAGATAAAGAGGCTAGTGGAGAATGAGGAAAGATTGCTTTATGGGTATCCACAATTCCTTGCTAGAGATTAAATTCAGACAGTTCCTCTGTATCATGATGCTATCATATCTCTTATGACTGCCAGCTAGACACATGACAACCTAACTCATTCTACAGAATACCATGCAATTTTCAAAGTTTTCAAGGTATCTTTGAATTAATAAGGTCTGCTCTCCTTTATCATACATCTGGCTTAGTAACTGAGAATACTTCACTGTGAAGTCCAAATGTTGGACTTCCCTCCTGGTACAAAACACGTTATATATTATCAGTCAGCTTTAGCATTTGACATGTTCTTACCTGAACTAATACATATTGACAGTTTCCTGGAAACTTGTACTTCAGTCCATCAAATGTCAAATAATGAGCTGTACCAATAACAGTGCAGGTGCCATCACAGGTATTTTTGGTGCAGTCCCACTTTCGACCACGGCACACACTGTAACAGAGAAAATAAGTCAATGACAATTGTCAGTATTACCAATGTGTATAATAAGCGAGAGAAAGCAAGGTGCTTTAGGCAAAGCGAAAGAGCAAAGGTTTCTGCCCCCAGGAGCTCATCTCCTGAAGACTCTCCAAAAGACACACAAGTGATGATAAGCTACTATTTCACCTTGTTCTGCCTTTTTTCCTGGGCCTGGGTCAGGGAGTAACCTACCACAGACAACATAGGAGCCCTGTTCCCTTGTGTGTCTTAACCCAGACATCAACAGAAGCTATGTAAGGAACTTCTACAGTTTTCTGTGCTGCTGTCCATCCTCAGGTATGTCACCGGAAGATCCTCTCTGTGTTTGACCTTAAGAAGGTACTCTTAGAGGGCTCCATGCTTGGGCTACTGGAATCCTTCTCTAGATAGACTTCCTAACAAACAACCATGCAGCAGATGACAATCTCTCTCATTAACATAAATTAGAATATGTCAACCTTAGGTGGATAAATCCAAATAGGTCATTAATAAGTCAAGTAAATAGGGAATATGCTTCCCTTTTTTCTTACAAGCTACATGTAGGAGTATATCCTCTTTGAAATTCACTATTATAGGGAGTCCTGGACAGAGCCTGCCAGAATGTTTCATAATGCTATCAGTATTTTATTTTACATATCCTGTTCTGCTCAGATGTTCCTTTCAGAAAAACAGGTTGATTATCCTCTAAGAATCACTACAGGTTAAATATGAAGTATAATATCAGCAACCCTGTTTTTATTTGCATTATCATCCATTTTTCCACATTGAAAGTCAAAATAGCAGTAAATTTAATATCTAACTTATGTATTTAATATGGTGACCCACTTCTGGGACCAGGTAACCAGGACTATAATTCAATCTATCCAGTGGCTTTTGATAAGATTAAATACTTAAGTATAATACCACCGTCCTGCAAAGAGGCCTCTTCGTTCTTAAATTCATCTTCATGAGAGTTTATCTGACCTAGCAATTGGAGACATTGCCTCACATTTTGACAAGGACACACATAGATAATAATATTACCTTTTTCTGTGCATAGGTACACATATACATACACCTTCTGAGGAATGTCCTATGGTGTGATACTGTTCCCCGAGGTATCCTGTGGTGACTGAACCAGAATGTCTGTCCTACAGGAGAATTCTCCCCCGCTGCTCTGCTCTTGTGAGATCCCACCTGGAGTGCTGCATCCAGCTGTGGAGCTCTCAATATCAGAAGGATATAGAGCGGTTGGAGCAAGTCCAGAGGAGGCCACAGAGATGCTCCAAGGGCTGGAGCACTTCTGCTATGGGGACAGACTGGGAGAGTTGGGCTGTTCAGCCTGGAGAAGGGAAGGCTCCAGGGAGAACTTATACCACCTTCTGGTACCTGAAGGGGCTACAAGGAAGCTGGGGGGGGACTTTTTACAAGGGTCTGTAGTGACAGGACAAGGGGTAACGGGTTTAAATTGAAAGTGGGGAGGTTTAGATTGGATATCAGGAAGAAGTTCTTCCTGGAGAGGGTGGTGAAACACTGGGACACGTTGCCCAGAGTAGCTGTGGATGCCCCATCCCTGGAAGTGTTCAAGGCCAGGCTGGATGAGGCTTTGGGGAAACCGGGGTAGTGCAAGGTGGAGGGTGTCCCTGCCCATGGCAGGGAGGTTGGAACTAGATGATCTTTAAGGTCCCTTCTAACCCAAACCGTTCTGTGATTCTATGAATTCAAGTTTGGTGTCCAAATAGCACTCCAAGCTAAATCTTGGGTTATGTGATAGGAGATATGACAAGATGTGACAAGTTCCCTGTGTCCTCCTAGACTTCCTCACAATCACAGAATATTCAAGGAAAAAAAAAAAAAAGAGGGGGGACAGGAATCCTGACGTGCAGAGCAAAACAAGATGCTGGCTTGTTTTTTCAGGAGGAGGAGGATTCTGAAGAGCAATCAGACACAGGGTTAAGATCTTGATACCATTATATGCATTTTGCATTAGCAGCTGTACTGCACTGTCTTTTTCGTACAAAGCTAGTGATGTCATGACAAAAGAGATAGCATTCTTTTTCCTCATTTCACCCCTCATTTTGCTCTCTTTTTGGCCTTTTTTTTTTTTTCTTTTTTTTGGTTCATATTGGTTTTGGTGTTTTGTTTTTAAAACAAAACAAACCAGAAAAAAAAACACCCATTGACCATCTTCTGAGTGGCTATTCAAAACGCAAAGAATCCTCTCTTATCTTGATGTAACTCAATTGGTTTCAGTGTAATTATAAGAGTGTAACAGACAAAAAAAAAATAGTAGGACTCCTGGTCTTCATGATGACACCAAACCAGCCATATTCAACACCAAACATCATTAAATTTCCAAGAGTTTCCAAGGGCATTTTTATTCTTTCATTGCTGTGATACATAATAATCTAAATCTTACATGGTATGCTGATAAATAAGGCTCAATG